AGAATGGTAGTTTACGAGCAAGGAGAACCCATTCAGGTATGTATTCATGTATTTTTTGAGCCAAAACATCGATTTTGATTTTTTTTTTTTTAAACTCGCCATGTATTTTCGACACATACAGGTCGAAAATACCCTTATTTTTCGACGTGTATGTGTCGAAAACATAACAATTCATATGTTATTAAGTTTCGACACCTAAGTGTCGAATTTTGATACAATTTTCGACACTTAAGTGTCGAAACTTATTCACATATGAATTGTTTTGTTTTCGAAACTTACCCGTTTTGTAATAGGGTGTAGATCGATTGCACCAATTCATTTACCACGTCAGAAAAATCCCAACAAAAGAAGCTTTATTTGCATGGGTACATGAAGTATGTAAAAGAATTGGAATGGTGTTAATGATTGCGGGTTCGAGTGACGGGGATAGAGGACGTAGGACACCGTATGTGATTGTTCGTTGTGAGCGTGCGGGCCATTATGTTGGCAAGAAGGTACCAGGTGAAGATGATCAAAGACCGGGAAAAAGGAGCACCGGTTCAAAGAAATGCAATTGTCCGTTTAAATTGAAGGGGACAAAAGAACACAAGGATGATGAAAAGGCTGAGTGGAAATTGGATGTTTATAGTGGTATTCACAACCACAACTTATTTGAAAACTTGCACGCACACTCTTATGCTGGAAGATTATCAAAGGAGCAGGTTTCCTTTGTTCACACTATGAAGAAAGCAATGGTGAAACCAAGGGCAATTGTAAGAGCATTGAAGGAAAAGGACCCGTCTAATGTAACTGGTATGAAGACAGTTTACAATATTATCTCTAAGTTAAATTTAAGTGAATTGGATGGGAGATCTCAATTGCAATCATTGTTCGTCAAGTTGAAAGAAGATGAATACCTCTCGTACCATAAATCGAACGAGTTGAATGCGATTACTGACTTGTTGTGGATCCAACCCAAATGCATTAAGTTGGCACTGTCGTATCCGTACGTATTCGTCATCGATTGCACGTACAAGACCAATCGCTACGGACTCCCATTTCTTGAGATTATGGGTTTTACTTGTACCAACAAGACGTTCTCAATTGCCTTTGCATACTTGGATCACGAAAAGACGGAAAATTTCGAATGGGCGTTGCGTTGTTTGAAGGAGGCCATGACCAGTTGTCCTCGGCCTAATTGCATTGTAACAGATCGAGATTTGGGTTTAATGAAAGCAGTCCATCGAGTCATCACTTGCTGTGTCGGTGGCATGTGAACAAGAATATAGTGGCCAATTGTAAGAAATTTTTCACAAAGGACATCACCAAATGGAAGCAATTTCAGTCGGTTTTTTCAGCTCTTATTGAAAGAAATACCATAGAGGAGTTCAATGAGGATTGAGAGTCAATGAAAAGAACATTTATCAGTTATTCTCAGGCTATAGCATATGTAGCTAATTCATGGTTGGATCCGTACAAGGAGAGACTTGTATCGGTGTGGACAAATAAGTGTACTCATTTTGGAACGTACACTTCTAATAGGGTGGAGGGGGCACACGGACGAATGAAAAGGGATGTGCATAATTCAACTGGCACATTTGTGGATTTGTATACGAAAGTCCACAACCAAATTGTCGAACAACACAATGACATCAAGGCTTCCTTTGAAGTAAGTAAAAATAGTTACGAGCACACTTTCAAAACGTTGATATACAATGAGCTTCGTGGAAGTATCTCAAAAGACGCTCTGCAACTACTCAAAGTTGAGGTGGACAATGCGAAACTATTGCAACCGAGCGATATGGGTTGTAGTTGCGCCATCCGAACAACTCACGGTCTACCATGTTGCCATGAACTTCATGAGTATGTTGTTGTGAACAAATTTCCTATCCCACTTGAGTTAATAGGCTCGTATTGGAAACACATGAGCATGGAGCCCGTCGCGACCACATACCAAGTCATCCTACCAACCATCGACGAAGAATTATCGGAATACCAGAAGCTCTTTGAATGTGCCGATCTCGATGCAAAAACTCGATTGCGCAACCATTTGAGACATTTTACCCACCCAGAGAAGACTAACCTTACGGAGCCAAGTGAAAAAGTTGTTAGCAAAGGTCGACCGGCAAAAAATAGGAAAGACAAATCAAGCACTCGGGACAAATCACATTTTGAGTATGTGGAGCCAAAGAAAAAAAAATCGAAGCAAGCTAGTTGTTCTCCAAAGGTAAATGTCGCTACTATCGTCTCATTTCATTGAAGTTGTATTTTATAATTGTGCTGAGTAATGAAGTGTAATATACTGCAGCTTATACCTGTACTGATGAGATTACGAGGGCACTCGAATGATTCTTTTAACACTATACCAACTCAAGAGTCAGGAAAAAGCACTATACCGACGCAAGAGTCGTTCAAACCATTATTTGAAGATGCAGATGTGGGATTGCCACCAGGTTTGATCGGCAAGAATTAGTACATTGACACGATCCATCCACGATTTCGTATGCACGTTCGAGAAATCATCAATGTCGGTTCAGATGGACACTGTGGATTTCGGGCAGTTGCCTCTATGATGGGATTTGGAGAAGATGAATGGGGTCGAGTGCGAGATGACATGCTACGGGAGTTGACTTCTAATTTTTCCACTTACACGACCATGCACCGTGGCGAAGAAACCGTTAGAAGCATGCAAGCTATTGTGAGTAACTGGGATGTTCCTGCCACTCGTGATCATTGGATGTCTTTTCCAAATATGGGTCATGTAATTGCTTCAACATACAATATTGTGCTTGTCTACTTATCCAAGTATCAGTGTCTCACGTTCCTTCTTCTATCGAGCGATCCAAAGCTTTTCAGCGAGAGACAAGACCACGGAATGGCATTCGTCGACAACTGTCACTTCGTGCATCTTGTCTTGAACAACAATTGTCCAATACCTCCTATCGCCGATTATTGGTACCGATGTCATGATCCTAAAGCTGATGCTTGGAAGGCTGCAGAAATGGATGGTCGGATTATAGCA